CGCATCTGTCGGTGTTGCGTGCGTGCGCAGGTCAAGTACTGGATCCGGAAGTCGTTTGCCCTGTACGTCCAAGTCGGGGCATGCGATAAAAGAGGTCTTGTCTTGGGCAATTATATCCAGTCTTATTTTGTGCTAATCTGATCTGTTGACCTGACGCGAGATGCCCCACATACTGTTAGAGAAATGGTGGTTTTTTACTCGGATGATGTGGCAATGGAAACAGTTAATGTCAACAGATCCCGATCTGTTTGTGCGCCTTCCCTTTGTTTATTTAGATTCAAGTAGATTTCTGTTGTACATCACATGCACCAGTTGAAAGCCGTGTCTTTGCTCATGATTAGGTAGATCTTTTGATGTTGTAGTGTGGGTTTTAGTCCTCATGAAGTTGTTTCTGTTAATGATGCACGTTGACTCAGCTTATCCACCTGGATCAAACTTAATTGTAGTTTAGCGTGCCTCCCATGTTTTTATATCCCGTTTGAGTATTTTCAAGTGGCTCAACCGCTTCCGTCAGCTTGCAATATTACTCTGTTTATTAATTATGTTGCTAGTAGGGATTATCAGTAAATTTCTAAAATGAGTTTGTGACAGCTATTCTTACAGATTAGGGCTAACCAAGTTGTAGAGATAGCTATGGTTCTTTATCATGTTTCTTATAGTTACAAGTTAATGTAAATGTTCATTAATTACCCCTCTTTCATCCCACTCTGCCCCAAACAATTGTGTGCACCCTTGTTATTATATATCTATATGAGATAGTACGTTTTACCTGATTTACTTGTTATTTCCTGGCTGTATGTTAGTTTATACACCGATTCATAATTACATCAAGTTTGCTAACTTATACTTTGGTTTGATTGTTGTTGCAGGTCAGACTTGGAGAACAGCAAGCGTCTGATCCACTTCTCCACGTGCGAGGTCTACGGCAAGACCATCGGCAGCTTCCTCCCCAAGGACCACCCCCTCCGCAAGGTGATGAACTGAACATGACATCCCCATTCCCTTTGTTTGCTAAGTGCCCACACTATCTGTCTGCACTGCACTTGCTGTATGCGTCTGTGTGTGTCACTCCCCAAGTGACATCAGTGGATAATGCTTAGTGTAGCTGTATCAGACTCACTATGAGATGTCCACTCTTGTTTTGTTAACAAACATGAATTGTTAAGTCATCTATTCATGGCTGTTGCTTTTGTTCGGTATATATGTGTGCTTTCTGATTTGTATGCGTAGGTGGTTATAGGTTGCTGTGATGAATATAAATATTAACAAGTGCTCATGCATGCCGGTATACTAGAGCTAGTTGTATGTGCTCATTACCTTCCTATTGTCACTTTGTTAGCATCAATCCAATCCAATCCAGCCCAATGAATCTAAGCTGCTCATTTAGTTCTCGCCATTGGTGGTAGCCAACAACTAACCGATCTTAGCTGCTGCCGGCTGTTTGGCATCCTATGTATTTTTTGCTGCTAGTCTCAGAAATAATGCATGAATGGCATGAAAACTGCTTCATGCTATCTCTCGGGCAAAGTAGATGCTAGTTTGATTACTATCTGTACATCATCAGGTCTACTTGATGCAAGTCTCTATTTTTTGTTTGTCTCTCTTTGACATATTGCTTTTTCTTTTTGAATGTGCAGGTTATTTGCATCTTGATTAGGAGATGATGGTGATCATCTTTTGTTGCGGGAACCTGTTAGATAAAGTTTATGTGATTTGAACCTGCAAGATACAGTTTTGTATAATGTTGTGTGAGATAAAAGTTGTGAACATAGGAGATAAGTTATTGATATGTGTTGGCCTGTCTAATGTTATGCGAGATAAAGTTGTGTGAGAAAGTTTTCTATACTTGTGTTATTACTGTGGGAAAGAAGTACTGTTACTATACTGATTTGAGAGTATTGGCTGTAAATAAAAGAGGGCTTGGCCCACTATTGGATTGTAAAACGGCCATATCCAGAATTTATATTGCACTCAATACCTGGGCTCTAAAAAGGCCATGGCCCAAGCTATGTTGGACTTGTTTATAAAAAGAGCAATATAAATTCCAGATTCTAAAAAGGTTGAGGCCCAAAAAAAATGGATTGTAAAAGACTGCATCTCAGAAAAAAAAAGTCCTAATTGGTGGGCTAGGCCTATTTAGCTAATCAAAGCACAGGGAAAAAATAAATTAAATGGGCTGAATTAATGGGCTCGGCCCATGTAAAACGCCAAATGGACCAGGCTGAATCTTGTGCCACATCAGCTTGCCACGCTGGATGTCTACGTGGACTAGGGAGGCTGCTAGTGACCAAAACGCCACAATAGTAATATTTTGGTCATAAACGTCCACGACCTTCTCACAGAGATGGTCGCTATAGTCAGTTTACGACCCTCAGCTTTTGACCTTCTGTTTTTTGTCACAAAAAGGTCACAAATGAAAAACTATGACCTTTCAGTGACCAATAGTGAAGGTCACAAGATAGCATATTTCTTGTAGTGTACTCTTTCGCATGACGGGGCGCCTTCACCGCCGCCTCCTTGTTTGCCTCGCGCTTCGACAACTTGATGGCGAGTCGGAGCGCCTTGGCATTCTTGCGGTGGAGGCGCCACGCTTCCGCCTCCGCCGACGTGAGAGGGCGGAGGAGGACCGCAAGGAAAGCTACCTCGGGACCGATTGGCGCGCTCGCGCGCGGACATCGAGTCAGACGCCGCTGCCCTCTCCCTCGCCTGCTGTCGCTCACACCGGGCTGCTCGTTCCTCGGACTCGGGGGGTCCAAGTGCGCGTCAGCCCCGGAACGGGCACGAGGACCCGGCGGTGGCCGAGTACCACCTCCGGGACATAGGGTGGTGGTGGTGGGCGGCGTACTTGCAGGAGCAGAGCGGAGTGGCCGGAGCTGCGCGCCGGGAGGGAAGGCCCGACAACGTCGTCGGCGCTGCATCGACGAGCGTCAGCCGCTAACGAAGTTGATCCACCGCTGCTGAATCCGCCTTGCTCGACCATCGAATGCCTCAACGCGATGCGGAAGGCGGCCTCCTCCACATCGTCGGGCTCCGTTTCACGCAATAGACTAGCCCAAACGTCATTGGAGCCGGAGTCCCCACCAGAGGCAGTGCTGCTTCGGTCGCCGGCCATCGGATGCGTTCGGAGGGGATCGAAAGTGAAGTGGACGGAGACGGGAGTAAAGTGAAGTTCGGATTGACTGCAGTCTAGGGTTTTCCGGATGGGGATATTTGTGGGCCAGGCATGGGTTAGACTGGGCCAAGCTGACGTGGCGGACACGTCTAGGTCGCCTGATATCCGCCTCATATTTGGACTGAATATGAAAGGAACCGGTCAGTCCGGACGTTTGAGGCCCGTTTGAGGCGCCTGAGAGGGTCAATTTTTTCGTGATCGGGTCAGTGACCTGTCAGTCCACTCGCGCGTGTGAGACGAGTTTCCCAGGCTGTAGATGCTCTTAGGTGTGTTCCTGATCTCCCATGGATCCACATCAAATGACCCACACAAACATGATCAGACAGAGAAGTTGTAGGTGCTTTCGTGGGCGTCGGTGTGCGTTACGGGCGTTGGTATAACCGTGCACGGCCGCACCGATGCTCGACTCGCTTTGTTCTTTTGCCTCGGCTTGCGGATTTGGTTTGGCCGTAGATTTCACATACAATCTGGGATATATCCAGACAAGCAAATTTGGAGTTCCTAAGATGACAAGCTTGCTAGGATTAGTTATAGTACCAGTAATGGTCAGTTCAATTATGTGCGTACCAGCGCCTATCTTGTAGTGTAGTAGTAGTAGTACAATATAAGTACGTACGAACAGATTCATTGATCGTTAGTATTATATAGTGAAAAAAAGGATGGATCGTTAAGAGTTTCGCACGGCAGTAAGTAGGTACGCAGCCAGGCTGTGTGCTGGGGGCACGGGCAGTCGGGCACCAAACAGAGCTGCAGTAGGCGCTCAGCTATTGATACCGCGCAGCGCAAATCAGTGCACATGCATGCGACCAGGCAGGCTTGTTGCGTCTTGAGTTTGTCCCAAATGCATCACTCATAAACTCAGCACATCATTATTGCAAGATATTCGGTCGATTCCCATGTTGATTATTGTACTACTCCCAGGGAGTATGTCGTAGTATCAGTTATCGTGCATGCATGAGGAGGATTACACTATATTATTTGTTACAGTAGTATTCTGCTCTGCTCTCGTGGATCCTACATTCCTACTCCGAGCAGCATGTTTCACGAGGGACGTGTGACCAAAATTCCGTGTCTGAGAAAGAAGCAACTATATATCACGCACATAACTAATTCAACCGATCCACCACATGATGACCCAGTGACTGATGTGGTTCTTTCAGCTCCAACCTGAGAATGAGATGAAGATTCCTGACGTGAAATTACTAGTAGCTAGGCCTGTCATTTCACCATCCATGTATATGATGTGGAGAGACAATACATCACGCAGGCAGAGCCAAAAAGTTAGTTGACTGACAAAATGACAACTGTATGGCCAACGACTGCTCACACACAAAAATGGAAAAGGGGAAACGGAATGCACACAATCACATATTTAGATCCGTCTGAAACAAAAGATTTCCCTTCTTCATTTCTTGTGGGAACTGAACTGTTTTTGAGAAAGAAGACCAAATTTCGGTGAAAATTCTCGCGTTCCAAACAGCTTTTGCAGACAACACACACGCTATACATATTTATATTTTTTTTTTACATTTCATTTGGTTTTCTCATACGTAATATCCGGGCTGCGCACACAAATTCAAATATAGTACTCACCTAGCTAGCAAACAATCAGTTAGGTAGGCGTGCACGCGCGCACGAGGAGTTAACTGACAGGCAATCACACAATAGCTAGCCAGTAGCTTCGCAAAAGATAAATGAAATCAATACAACTAATCTCTTGCTTGATCAAGCTGCACTGCATCCGGCTGGGAATTGACAGCACTTGACGCGAATCATGGCAGCAAGGGACGACAACTAATCATAATCATATGTACCAGTTGAGTTCGGTTCATCCTTCTTCCTCCTTGATCTCGTCGCTGCCGCTGAAGGAGGAGGAGGAGCGGTTGGTGCTGGCGGTGGTCGGGGAGGACGGCGAGGCGGTGTCGCTGAGCGCGACGAGCAGGTCGACGAAGGCGCCGACGATGAGGCCGTGGGTGCTCTTGCCGTTGGCCCTGAGGTACCACCCCAGCATCTTCTCCATCCAGCACCAGTCCTTCACGCCATGGCTCATTACCATCTCCTCCATGGACGCCCGGAAGTCGCGGTACGGGTTCGACGAGTCCATGGTCATCGCTGTCGCTCCCTCGAACGGCGCCGTCTTGTCCACCTTCCCGCTGATGCAGCAGGTGGTAGCGGTGGTAGTGTCGATGTGCTTCACCTTCAGCTTGGCCTCGTCGAGTATGGAGGAGGAGGTGGCCGGCGTTGCGTGGGGCTCGAAGAAGAGGCGGCCGGAGCGCAGGGCGCGGATGACCGTCTCTCGCTCGTTGGCCTCAACGAGCCCGGAGGCGGCCTCGGACGCCGTGGAGAGGCTGTCGTCGAGCGAGGCGAAGGAGTTGGAGAAGCACGAGTCGGCGCCAGAGTCGGGCAAGTAGGCGGAGTTCATGGTCTTGTACGCCGTCTGGTGCTGCTCTTGGTGCTGCTGCTGCCTGAAGGAGAGGGTCCTTGGTTGCTTGCAGGACGGCCATTGCCACGAGGTGGCAGACATGGAGGAAGACGAGGCCACGGAGGAAGGTGCAGCGCCACTGGCACTGGCAGCACTGTCCACCTGCTTGCTGCTGAAGATGAGAGACGTGAGGCCAAGCTTCTTCACCATGGCTGGTTTTAGTCTGATCTCAAGGAGAAGAAATCAAACAGGACGATGCACAAGAGGCAGAGGCTGTGGCTATGGTGCTCCGCCTCCCACTGGGTGTGGGCAGGGCTACTACAGCTCTACTCAATTAGAGAGAGTGAGGAAGGCGGTGTGTGTATGTGGGCTTTTGCTCAGAGGAGGGTTGCATAGCACATATTGGCATATAATTAACGAAGCTAGCAGCATATCAGTACAGGACAGGAGCAATCAAAAGAGCAATCAGCTAGAGTAGCTAGGTTGCCTGGTGAGCAGAGAGACTAGTTGTTCATGATGTATTTTTCAGGAGGGGAGAAAGGAAGGAAGATGCCATGGATGGTGTGGTGGAGTGCAATTTGTGAAGATATATAGTAATGCTTCTGGCTAATCAGTCACTTGGGGTGGTGTGCTGCTAAACCTCTTTTGTTTACTTGGCCATCCACGTGGAGCCTTGCTCTTCTACAAGGCTACAAGACACATGCATGATCAGGAGTGGCTAGCTAGCAGCTGAAGAGACCGTTTAATTGGTATTGGTAGGTGCTACCTTGTTGCAATTTAATCTAATATAGGTATATGCGCCGTCCATCCAATTTGCCCAGAGCAGAGATAAATGTAATGATCGATATGATCTTCACATGCGGCAAGCATTAGATTATTGGGAGCCGGTGGTGTGGCGTGGTGTGGTTTAATCTGCAGGCTGAGCAGAAGCAAATTAGTTGATCAGTTTCACAACAACATACGTATAGGAGGATATATAATAGTAAATGCCGCAAGTGCGCAGATACCTGTTGTAATCAAATGGTGCAATAAGGTCACAGGATCTCTAGATAATTAGGTGCAGACAAGGGAGAAGCGTCCTCAAATTGTTTTAACTAGTGCGCCTAGCTAGCTCTCCATCCATCTGTCATGTCTCGGGATGGGCCTCATCTCCCTGCAAAGTAACCTTAATCTTTCACAGATGAGACCTTGGCCTTGTTCCTTGGTGGTAGCCTGCTAGTGCCGTGCTACAGATTCTCATTCTCCTGGGTAGCTGCAATGCTGCAACCGCCATTGAAAACCGTGTTGATGAATGAATCCCAACAAGTCACCTTTTTTTATGGTTACGGAACACATATCATCGCATTAACAAAGTAATAAATTAGTCATTCTGTAATAAACAAGGGCTGTAGAATTGAAAATTTACACTGCGCCCTCGACGTAGAGGCGTCTTCGCAGCAAACAAGAGGGAAAATTCCACACTTTGCAGTAGTTTCAGTTTTGTTCCCCACAGTTCCTATGCAGGCTAGCTGCAGCTTTAGCACCAAATATAGTACTGCCAATCAAAGGGTTGCACAGTACTCTTGCCCAGTTTACAGCTAATCAGACCCAATGATGGAGCATAAGTGAGTACGTACTGGCAGGATCACAAGAATGAACAGCAAATTTCTGTATGCACCTGTCTCAAAATAATCTATTTACGTAGCAGAAATGTTCTCAACTCCTGAAGCTTATAACCATACTGAAAAAAGTTAAGGCGTGCAGATCAAGACAGAAATGTTAGCTAAGAAATGAATGAATGGTGCTGACCGGTTGATGCAAATATTCTCTGTGTTGCCATTCCATCTCCTCTGAACCTTGTTCTAAGCATGTACTAGTAGTTGCATAATTCTTCAGCATTTATGCAAGTCTGGCTAAACATGAGACCGGATTTATTGCACTCACCTCGATGGCGTCTTCCCTTTTCTCGCTTTCTTTCCTTCAGTTGCCCATTCAACGCCTCCACATCTTCTGGCATGATATCAAGGCTCCTACGAAAAAGGCAGGAAACCTGTGACGCATTTATTGAGTCTGTCTTGCAATTTGGTGGTGCATCCAGAGCAGCAATCTTTCAGGAATTTGGGTTGGGGAAATCACATTTGGTTTCCAGTTTTCTCTAATGATTCTGGTACATGCAACATAAGATGATCAGGGAAGCAACATGTTCTTTAACAACACCCAATCAAACATTGTTGGTCCAAAAAGTTCTTGATCGTTGCCTGGTCCTTACGGCCTCAACCAAATACTACTATGCTCTGTTTGGATGTAGACATTGAAGGCTTGACATTGAATTGGCTCCAATGCCAAATATCCAAGACATTGATATTGAGCTTCAATGCCAATTTCAGTGTTTGGATGCTCATATATTTGGCTCATGGAATCCAAACGAAAACACAATTCCAAATCTTGTTTGGATGGTCAAGCGTTGAATTGCACATGCATATAAGTATGAACCTTTATACTCCCTCCGTTCCAAAATAGATGACTCAACTTTGTACTAATTTTAGTGAAACGGAGGGAGTACTTGACATCTTTGAACAGAAAAAAGGGAAGCATGTTCGTGAGGGATCAAAGATGAATACAGCTATTGGTCGTGCTTGCAACAACTCAGTTTCGTGCACCTGCAATCAGATTAGGGGATGCGGACAGAGAGCATACGCACATGGCAACGCACACTCAGGCACACAGCAACGGACTCCACACACACAACGACAGACTGCCGCGGTGGGCTTCCGCTTTGCCTTGCCGGAGCGGCCCCTGAACCAGTAGCCATTAAAGGGAGCGGGAGGCACGGAGACCCAGGTAGCAGTCGCCGGCGTAGATGTGGTGTGGTGGTGGAGATGTAGCGGCAGCAGCAACCAGTCACGACCGGTCTTCACGTTCGTGCCGGTTTCAGAGTTCACGTCTGCTGGTGGGGTTCAACTCGTGGTGAGGAGTTTCCGCCACCGCTCGCCGCAGAAGCCCCGGACCAGCAGCTAACGAAGGAACGGGTGGTGCGGAGACCTAGGTTGTAGTCGCCGCCGGCCCTTATGAGGCGGAGGTGGTGCGGAGACCTAGGTTGTAGTCGCCGCCGGCCCTTATGAGGCGGAGGTGGTGCGGAGACCTAGGTTGTAGTCGCCGCCGGCCCTTATGAGGCGGAGGTGGTGCGGAGACCTAGGTTGTAGTCGCCGCCGGCCCTTATGAGGCGGAGGTGGTGCGGACGGAGCAGGAGTCGAACCCCGCGGTCTTCGAGCTCGGGCCAGCGGCGGAGTCCGGCACCGCCGGCCATGATGCTCGCGGCGACGCGGGCTACTATGCCGTTTCGATAGTTGCGCAGGGAAGGGGTGAGAGCGAAGGAGTCGCGGGCCGGAGCGACTGGCGAATATCAGTGAAAACCGAGCTCGAGGCCTCCGAATCGCTCGGGAGGGAGTGCACGTGAAAAAGGGAACGGCTCGATATTGAGCCCCGATTCCACGACTGAATGTCAAGCGCAACCGAACGGCGATATTCGGGTTACCGAATACCAATATCAAAATCTGGGCCTCAATACCTACATCCAAACGGTGCGCTAGTATTTTTGTACGATTTCCTTAGCTTTTGGTCCACCTGGTACGCAGGAATCCAGGATAGGTACCTCTACTCATAGGTTGCTGACCTGTACCAGTAACAGTTGCCATGATCAAGGATTCAAGGTAGCAAAATCTTGAAGCAGTATGCTTTATGTAGAAACAGAAACTGTGAAGAAACCGGGGTTATCATAGGATACACTACACGATACCATGGTGAAGTTGGCGACAGAAAAGAGTTGTATCGAATGCGACACATAGCGAACCATCGATCAGATCTGCATCTTCATCGGTAGGAAATGATTGGTCAACTGAAAATGTTTCCAAATTTGTCAAAGCTAGGTGCTGCAAATTAATTTAGCTATCTCTCATAATCTACTGATCTGTGCTACTTCTACCCATATTATTGCTTAATCTGAATCTGCTTAGCGGAGGCCCCCTGCTAGTCATGTCAACATTAATATGTGCGTGTGTGTGTGTGACTGCGTCCATGCAGCCATGCATACTAGTCAGTCAGGGAGCAAGGCTGGTGCAATTACCACTGTGGGATAGGATGATCCTGCAGATCTATGTTGCCTGTGTCTTCACTGTGCGCAGGACAGCAGTGTCACTGCGGTCTATTTAATTAACCTTGCAGAGCATATCCCACACACTTTGATCTGCGGCAGCTTTTAAACTAGTGGTACTACGTACGTCCCACGTGCCCCGCCCTAAGGGCTGGCCTTTAAGAATCTACTGCATGGAGCAGTACGTGTGTACCCCCTCAGATTGGTGTAAACCTTGAAGCACGGTAATTAATTAGTTGATGCAGAGCTGCACAAGGGTGGACAGTTCCATGGACCAGGCCGTGTCTGCCTCCTAACAGATCCACTGTTCTGGAACATGCAGGCAGGCGTCGCTGAAGCTGAACCGCAGAAATTAATAGCCAAATTAGCTGCTCATAATCTGTATACAAGAGGGCTAGACGCCATGGACACTGACCTGTCGTGTTGTTGTTATCACCCTTCCAGGCCAGCAAGCCGTAGGGAGCTCACAGGGTTGTGCTTCTGCAATGGAGTTTTGTGACTTTTAAGAGGGCCAAGTGCATGCAGATGCAATAATGCAGAGCATGGCTGGCTCCACTGGGCACATGTCCTGGCCTACCCTTCTTCACTCATGTATGGCGATGGCCAACTAACAATAGACATTTTCCAAACTGTATTGTCTACTCCCTCTGTAAACTTTTATAAAAGTAGTGACCTAAAACATCTTATAAATAAAAGTTTACAGAGGTAGTATCTCTCAGTAGTTTGATCCGAAATTTATACCACGGAGGTTCGGGGGTGTTATTCGGAGTTTCGGTCCTGAATTATCAAATTACTAGAGGATGAAAAACCTTCAGTGACTGTGCCAAGAGTTTCTTGATGTTTCAAAAGAAAGATTACTTGGTTGGCCAAAACAAAACCCTTGCCTTAATCTCTCAAGTCTCAACTAAGCCTTCTAAATAGCCTCCACAAAATTGAGGAAACGATTTCAGTACACATCAACTTTTAATAGAGGAATATGACTACCTACGCTGCATGCATTCAACTTTTCCATGGGTATATTACCTCTGATTTTTAACCACCTGTCCTTTTCATCCTTTCTTCATAGGTAGTATATATCTATGGAAGGATCTGAATTCCAAAAATGATTAAAGCTGCAGATCGCATACTACTGTATTTGTGTAGTATGCGTAACAGCAACTCCTAGATTTTGTCTCCAAAGGAGGACAAACTACATGACCCCATTGAACAGCTGTACGATACGCACATATAGATGGGAATCCCCAAGTGTATAGAAGCAAGCAGTGTTTGCATATACGACCCACCATCAAATCGAAATAAATACACCAAAATTGGAAAATTTCCGAGCAGCTGAATGGCACAGAACAAAGCTCCCTCCAGCAGTACATGAATGCTGGAAGCCAAAACAAAATAAAATAAATGAGGAACCAGATCACATTCTTAATTTGAACCCTTCAGCTAGGAGACAAATGGAGCCAACAGGATCCATTGTTTTTCATGATTTCCTGTGATTTAAAACATGTTGTAGGTTAAACAAATGGATTTGTTTATTCGGGCTGCTTCTAGATAGTTTTTTGTGATAAAACGGGCATACAGCATTATTTATTAAACTAGTTGATGAAATTGAACGTAAGGCATGCTTTCCTACAGGCACATGCCTCAAGGACCCAAAAGTGACTAGGCAATTAGGCATGAACAAACCTTAGCCTGTGGTTTAAAAATCATGTGTTAGTTTGTCTCATCTGGAGTGCAGACAACCTGCATGTGTTAGTTGCTGGGCAGGCCCCCTCCAACATGGAAGCTACTGCTGGTTCTTGAGACAACAAAATCTTATAAAAGGTTTCAGCCTAGGAACTGACCGAAGTACCTAACCTTGCACAAGGCCGGATAATTAGCATAGTGTTTTCTTCAGCTCTTACTCTGATTCTGGTTATCTCTTAGTCTGGACTGATATTTCACCTTTGCGGCATCAAACATAACTTGGTCAGGAAAGCATTGTAACAAGAATTACATGATTAAACTACTTGCAAAGTTTGCCCAAAAGAGGATGCTCCATCCCCTAAAGGATTGTTTCGTTTTAGTGTTACCTATGAAAAATGCCTCTGTTATGAATAATCGAATTAACCTCAGTTCATTTTCAAGCTTGTTAGCTCCATATGGATGCAAACAATGGAGCCTTGCTGGTTCTGGCAACAGAAGGCACAAATTGTCAGAAACATAAAGTGGTAGCCAGCATCTTTTGTCTGAAAATAGATTTGTCACTTCATTCCTTCTGGAAAAGTTATAACCAAGAGCTAAAGTTGACTGGAAATCTCAAAGTAGGATGTATGAGCCATTAACAAATTCTACAAATAAGCTTTTGGATAGTTACGCCTAAACAATGGAGGAGCTACTATAAAAGCAGGGGCACTTTGACATGCATAGTTACGCCTAAACGCTATTAGTATTTTATTTATTTTGTTGAAGAGAAACTGCAGGGGAGCCCCAGAAGTGAAGTAACTGATAAATAAACAGGAGAATGACAACTTATGTACAATGTGTCCGCAGAACCAAAGGGTAAAACCCTGAACACTAATAAAAACCTAGGCATATGATGTGAGATCTGGACAATCCTACTCTTAATGGGCCTTTGTTTGGATGCAGATAGACAGGCCTGTTGGGCTTAAATGTCAGGCTACATAATAATTGGCCCATTTGGTTGAGCAGAGCCCACTGTTAACTGCTAAGTACCCTGCTTACACCATTGAAGCCGAACCAAGGACGACAGTGTTCAACACACCTGCACATGTGACATAATTTGAAAGGTACTAGCTCTCTAGATCAAAACCTACAAGATAACCCTAACTGTTTTAATAGATTTTGTAAAGTAGATGGTAACATCAAGTCATCAACATCGCCAGATCAAAACCTACATTAATATAGAAGGAAAACAGTCTGGTGGCTTGCAATTCTGCCGAGCAAGAGAAGTAAATATGGAGCTGGAGGACTATGGATATAAATTTGGGTTGACGGGGAAGCGGCGAGCACGGATAGTAAATTTGAACATATGCTTAATGCGGGGGTTTTTCACAGTGGGTAAGTCACCTATTGCTTTCCTTAATAAAAAAAAGGAAAAAGTGTATAGTATAATAGAACAGATTCCTGCGACAAGTGAGAACAGATCAGGGCAGGATTGGACTGCCTGAGCTTATGGTTCTTTTGTTTCATGCATCTAATTAAGAGGGGGGCAAAAGTTTGGTGGCTGTATGACCTCCCATTTTATGAGACAGAAAAACTGGAGGTTGATTAGTCACTTTACTGGAAAGTAAATGCAATTATTTCTACAAGACAGGGCTTTAAGTGGAGTCTCTATCTGTTGCTGGCAGGAAGCTCTGCTGAGAAATTGCTCAAGACTTATCTACAGCCATTTATATTGTTGAAGACTAAACATGTAAAAACATCAACTCGAGTAGTGCAACGAGAGTTTGCTCTTATTTTATTTTATTTTTTCAGAAAGTTTTCTCTTATATGACCATGTATATCTGTAATTAAAATGAACTAAACTAACATACAATGACACAAGAACAATCCGAGGTATGGATAACCCAAGAGAGAAATCTGACACGTTCAGGAAAAGCGAAAAAGAAATGGTATGTATTGCCGTATACATGATCTCAGAGTCACAAGGAAGGGAGTAGGGTAAACAACAAAAATTCGTCAGGTCCCCCAATTACCAGCTAGTATATCATACTCCCTCCGTCCGGAAAAACTTGTCCCAAGCTTATTTCTCAAATGGTAGCACTAACTTGGTGCTAGATACATCCATATGAGGGACAAGCTTTTTCGGACGGAGGGAGTACTGGTTAATGATTGTGGACACTGATTGAGAGGCCAGCCAGAGATGAGAAGAAACACCCCTCAACCTTTCATGAGCTACTCAACGCAACACTGCAGATAGCAAACACCAAAGGCTAGCTGTCTATAATTATTTTTCGAAAAGGAAGGTTAAACCTTCCGGCCTTTGCATCCGCAGATGCACACAGCCATAGCTGCATATATTTATCTACACGCCAGATGTTTTGGCAATTAGGTCTTGTTCTTCGTGTCACAGTACTTGTGGAAGTGCAGCAGCACGGGGCTCTTGCACCTGGGGCACTTGGGTTGCTTCTCTTCTTCTGAATCCGTGAGCATCATGTACATGAGGCACTGGGGGCATCCAGCGACCACCATCGGCATCTCCACCTCTGCATCCAACAACACGCATGAGCTCGCCGGCGAATCCATGGACACTTCACCGCTCGTCATTATCTGGCTCATGCTTAGCTTACTAAGTGGTGTCAAGCTAGCTAGAGTGCAGTGTAAGTGGCTAGAGGAAGAGGAAGAGAGGAGACCCTCTGTATCTGTTCTGTGGTGTGTGAGAAACTGAGAACTGTGGTCGTGCGGTGCACCTCCCACTGCCAGAACATTATATAATGGCTTGCGAAAGGAAGAGCACATCCTAAAATAAAAATACTCCTTAGATTTCCTTAAGCAGACAGAGATTGGAGGTCAAAATCATTGCAGCTGAGGTGAAGTTTCTTTATGACCGAAAGACTTTCTCCTTCCATGCGTGGGCATTCAAATGAAGGATGGTACACTAGTAGTTCAAGAAAAGTTAGCAGTTGGACTTGGGACTTCTTTTACATTTAGCAAAAAGTTTCCAGGAGGATATACAACTCCCTTTCCCATTCCCTTTGCTGCTGTAAATACTGATTATTTGCATTGAGCAATTAATGGGAAGGAGTTCGCCTGGTTGGAACAAAAATAAGGCTTTGCTACATTAAGATTGTTTGCTTGAGACTGTTGTACTGGTATATACCTAACCCTTGAATGAGAAAACAGTTGC